ACTGTAACATTCAGTGAATCACCTTGGGAGTTATTTGCATTTTGTATTTTGTATATTTATATATATTTGATTAATCTTATTATGATAAATCGTTCATTGGTGATAAGAATTGTTATTATTCTTATTTGTTCACCTTATGCTTCCAGCCTCAAATCACTGTTCCATCTCCTCAACACTTCCTTAGTGAAGTAGAGATGGGCAGGCCTCTGCATGACCGTATAGATATACTTAGTATATCTATTTTTATCTTTTAAAAAATAAATAAATTATAAATAAATAAACACACCACCACGTCACCCAGCCGAGGAGACTGAAGCAATCAATTTTTTGGTGGCCGGTCATACATGTAGTATAATGTCAACTCAATAAACAGGGAAAATAAAGATGAGAGTTGATACAATTTAAATAGTAACGAAAAAAGGGGAGGGGGTTCAATAAATATTTAACACAAGTTATAGACAAAACTGAAAATAGGGGGGTGTTAACAAACTTTCTAAATTTTTCAATGTATACTGCGATTCTGGTCACTCAACGTTAAACAATAATGTAGATTTTATAAGTTGTTTTTTAATTAGCAAATAATACTATACATATTTCTAAAAGCATGCTATTATTCTGGTAAGTAGGTAACAAATAATTCTAAAAAACCAACGTACAGTATTATACATTGTTTGATTATGATAGTTTATAGGAATTTGTATATGTGCGTATTTGTGAACAAAAAAGAAAATTGTAATAATGAAAACGACCAGGAAGGAGTTATGCCAAATAAAATTTAGAAATTTTGAGTTTGTGCTATAGCGTATATATTATTCTAAAATATGCCAAAAATACCAAAAGATATAGGCTAGTATGCCAGTAATTTTGTGAGGGAACTCTCATCAGGTGCTAGTCCCAAACTCCATGCAGGTTTGTTTCGGTAATGAATTGGCCATTCATTCTAGCACGACAAACCTGTCCTCGCCATTTCCGGTAGATGTGTATTTCTATTTTCTAGTTTCTAGTGTATAAACAAAAAAGTGCACGTGTAATATATAAGTTTTGTAATATATCTAACACTACATTTATATCTTAGCTAAGGTACTTACCTTAAGTCTTCTATATTCTTCTATATTGAATTACATCATGGCGACTTGACAGGGTTCTTATCTGTTGATATGACGTCATTTTTCAGTTCTATGGTCGATACAATGACCTTGTCAGCAAATACAATTTATCATTGAGTCAAATGCAGACTGAAGTTTTTTCATACTTATTGTTAGGCCATTATTTACACACTGAATTGTCGACGGATTTTTCCGTTATTTCCCGATCATGACAAGGAGCACACGGCGGGTTTGACCGGTCTGCAGGGGATGCTCACTCCTCCATGGCACCTGATCCCACCTCTGATGTTTTGGAGGTCCTTATTTGCTCTGCTCCTATTTTGTATTGTTTAATGGACTTTTGAGCTTGAATACTGTTCGTTATCTCTATACATTTCATCTAAAAATATTTCTGACATCTTGAACTTTGAGCTGCAAATATGTCTGAGTCAGGTATGTTTTCATTAAGGAGAATCTTCATCAGCACAGAAATATATACATGCAAGTAGCAAAAAGTATATTTTTATAATGATGTACGTTCGCTGTGTTATATGTTCATTTTATTAATCTATTTATGTTTTATGACTGAGATAAAGATTAATAACAGACAACATTCATCTTCGATAGTTTTCTGTTAGCAGGTTGTGGTACACAGCTATTGCTTTTGGATTATGCACATTTGTACATCACAGATTAAAAATTAATTTAAGAAAACAAAACCAAGTTATCACTCAGAGTGGTGATTGATTGCTTGATTGTATGTTGTTTTACGTCCCATTCGAGAATTTTTCACTCATATAGAGACGTCACCATATACCGGTGAAGGGCTTCAAATTTTGACCTTTGCTCGGCACTCAGGGCTATTGAGCAGTGAGGGATCTTTATCGTGCCATCGCCTGCCGTGACACTGGACCTCGGTTTTTAAGGTCTAGTCCGAAGGACCCGCAACTTCAAAGTGCCGAGCGCATAGCGAAGGAACAGTTGCTACCTATTTTTATCGACTTAGGCCAGTCGCGGCCGAGACTCGAACTCACGACCTTCCGATCACGGAGCGAGCGCTCTACCGACTGAGCTACCGTGAACGGTCTCAGAGTGAATGAGTAGAATGATACGAAATGTTACTGTTAAAAAATCTTTTATATATATTAAATGGACATTTTATAAGGTAGACTGATTTATATCACCTTACATTTCAGTGACCTTGGTACTTCTATATCTGCTTCATTCAATAGGGAAGATGTTATGGAAAACGAATGTGACAAAAATTTATGTATCCCTTTTGTTCTTATCAACACCGACATGTCATATAGATTTTTTGTATCAGTGTTGCAATATCGTAATAGCATTTCATCCGAAAATCAATGTTACTGGATTTTGAAATTTGCAAAACACTTTGAGCTTGTCAAATAATAGTAGCCTTTATCTAATTCTCATGTTTTTCGTATTTTTCCCCTTTGTGCAGGTCGTGACGTGATATTGTATGAAAAGTTGAAAACCGTTAAAAAAAGAAAGAAAGAAGCGCATAATAGGAACAATACGCTGGATAATATAAAATAGATTTGTCGTACAATTGTTTTAGATGAATATGATTCATTCGAGTAAAATACATGATTTCTAAGACTTTTGTTAACTAGACAGCCAGTATACAAAACTCACAGACAAAAAGCACCTGATCTTGGAAAATACTAATATTTTGTTTTTGAACACTTTTGTTGGTTTCTGATCCACATCATTCAGGTACAAAACGGCTGTCAAATGCTGGTGTTCTCAATTTTTAAAAAAAAAAATGACGCTATTTAAGAATGCCCATCTAAATGATGCATAACAAAAAGGAAATTGGGCGACTGCAAGGTGTACCACAGTCGTTAAGAGGTTTTAATCTTGCAGAAAGCACCATATCTCATCTATTAAACAGATACCAACAGCATGGTACAACAAATGATCGCCAAAAATATGGCAGTCCACGCGTGACATCAGCAGTACAGGATCGCTTCATTGATTTGCGTCATCTTCATCATGACATTGTGTACAGCATAAGCTATCCCTGAACTGCACAAAATATCAAGCAAGATCGTTTGCAATTGACTACGGGATGCTGGAATTAGAGCAAAGACTTATTCATGCCATTTTTCTGATCCCACAAAACGCCAATATCGACTTGAAAGGTTTCTGACAACAGAGTATGGCCACAACAACACTAGCTATGAGTCCCGATTTTTTATTGCAAAGCCTGATGAAAGGGTCAGAGTGCATAAGCTTGGTAAAGAACGTTTTGCAAAAAAATCCCTACAGGAGGTTGATAGATTTGGTCTTGGTAGTGCCAAGATGTTGGCAGCGGTATTGTAAACAGGATTGATTTGGACTTTGACTGAACAACAGTACTCTGACAATGTCCTACATGCACATGTCTTACCAATAATGCAGCATCCTGGAGCCATATTTCAATCAGAAAATAAAGAGCCACATACGGCTCGTCTGACAATCGTATCCTTGCAAAGCCACAGCATCTAATCCTGCCTTGCCGATCTAGATCGCCAGATTTAAACGCATTGAGCTTGCATTAGACAAATAGGCATATCCGTAAAAGACATCTGCATCCCCAGACTGCAACAGCTGAACCAAGTATTCTAATACAGTTCTAATACACACATTTGTGTACATGGGATAACGTCTAAGGCTATCATTGGTGTTTGTAGGGGGCATACCAGATATTGATCATTAATGACCTTGAACTGTCTAAGATTGTAAACTCATGAGTAATTATTACATTTATATTGTAGACCTATGGTTTCCCACATTTCTTTGATATCAATACATCATTCTACTTAGTAATCTTTACGTCTTAATGTGTCATTAAAATTTTTATGTATAAATGGTATAACGCAAAGTGAAAACGCTTAACAATACAAAAAAGCGTAATAACACGAAAAAAGGGCATTATTGTGATTTTCAAAAGGCATAATAGCGCCAATAAATAAATAAATAAATAAATTAGGGATGTCAATTTGTAACCGGTTAACCGATTACTCGGTCGGAACGGCGGTAATCGGTTAGAAAATCTGTAATCGGTTAGTCGGAAAAAATAAAATATATGTAAATTTGAACGCAATTTCCTTCAAATTCATTTTTAAAAAGAAACCTCTGCATAAACATTGATAACGTAACGTTTTCACATATCTATTTAAGCTGATTCGGCGGTAATTATGACTCTCCTGATTGAGATCGCGGGGAAGTGTTAATTACAGTTTAAACACCATGTACATGTAGTTATCACGACAGTCCTCTAATTCTTTGATGATATTAAATAAATTATCGTTGAGCACTTTGAATTGATATGTCTATCTTTTGCCGTTATCCATCAAATTAAAGCATTAAATAAACAACGTAAATTAAGTGAAAGTTAATAATTATTCCGATTTAATTTTGATTATAGTGACGATGCAGTATGAACTTCTGTGACATCTGCTCTGGAAAATTATCAATGCCTGATTTCTCGGGCATATTTCATGGGTTTCCTTATTTTCCCTTTTCTCTTGAAATTGAAAGAAAATACATGTACGTTTCCTGATAAGGGTAACAGAAGATTTGTAACTTTAATTCTAACGTCTGTTTTAGTCTTCTTGACAATGCGTTTACATGTATAGCGCTACTTGAAAAAAAAATAAGTCAAGAAAATGTGCATTTTGATACGATTAACCGGTTAATCGGTCGGAACATCTTGCGGTTAACCGATTAGCAATTCTGTATTCGATTGCCATCCCTAAAATAAATATAAGTAAATAAATTTAAAAAAAAATTATATATATTTCATTTGGGAGAGTAATATGAGATGTATTTGAGCTAAATAAAAAAAAAAGATTGTTAATTCTACTTTTGATCGAGTAGTGGTTTCAAACAGAAGAAAAAAGAAGTGACTAAAATTTTTACAATTTTATTGTAAAACGATATTGTAACAAATACATGTAATGTTAGTGGAGACGTAGATGCAGACAAAAGAAATATCACAGTTTCCATCACATCAGGACAAGGTGTGGAGCAGCCCTACAAATCACGGTACAATGTAGCATTAAAAAGCATCGCTCGCTTCAATAAAAAATTAAATAACACAGTCTTCTACACAATACAGTCACAAAATATTGTTTTCATGATTAACCAAACGCTATAAAGTATTGGATTCAAGAAGGGTGCTTCAAAGTTTTAATCTTCATGGGGTTTTACTTTACATCCTAATTGTAGTGTACCTATTGCTCAAAACCGGAAGTCACGTGCACACCTAGAGCTGATAATACTGTTATATAATATATATAAATACAATGACTTGGAATGACAGCAAACACGTAGATGCACCACAAAAATAAGTTATCACATCAGAGTCCAGGCTCACGGACAGTTCACAATGGGAACAAGATGAATGAATCGGCATGATATGAAAAATTATAAGTATACAAGTATAAAAATATTGTTGACATTCAAAGTTTTAAAGGTATTTTTCTTCAATATTCATAAGTTTACCACCATGTACATTCACTTCTCATATGGGGGCACATCTCACAAAACAAGAAATAGTAAATATGTTAAAATGTTAGATTTTTCGTACACTCTGTCTTGTTGCAGGTTTGAATGTTTCATCAATGAACTTTTCATATGGAATTTTGCCAGACATGTTTTGGTCAAATTGAGTAAGAACATGATAAACTTCATCTTCATCCAAAATGACATTGGCCAGTTTCAGGACTGAGCGGAACTCAGGAACTGATAGATAACCATCATTTTTTGTGTCAAGTTTCCTGAAAGCCCTACGTAGATTCTTCCAATCTCCAGCAAGCTGTACGAAATAGACAAGAAACAGGTAATGACAACCGACATAACAATTACAGTTAAAATTGAGAACTGACAATCTAGATGCATGCATACTACACCAGTGGAATGATTACCAAGTATCTTACCTTCTGTCTCAGTAATACTACACCAGTGGAATGATTATCGAGTATCTTACCTTCTGTCTCAGTAATACTACACCAGTGGAATGATTATCGAGTATCTTACCTTCTGTCTCAGTAATACTACACCAGCGGAATGATTATCGAGTATCTTACCTTCTGTCTCAGTAATACTACACCAGCGGAATGATTATCAAGTATCTTACCTTCTGTCTCAGTAATACTACACCAGTGGAATGATTATCAAGTATCTTACCTTCTGTCTCAGTAATACTACACCAGTGGAATGATTATCAAGTATCTTACCTTCTGTCTCAGTAATACTACACCAGTGGAATGATTATCAAGTATCTTACCTTCTGTCTCAGTAATACTACACCAGTGGAATGATTATCAAGTATCTTACCTTCTGTCTCAGTAATACTACACCAGTGGAATGATTACCAAGTATCTTACCTTCTGTCTCAGTAATACTACACCAGTGGAATGATTATCAAGTATCTTACCTTCTGTCTCAGTAATACTACACCAGTGGAATGATTATCAAGTATCTTACCTTCTGTCTCAGTAATACTACACCAGTGGAATGATTATCAAGTATCTTACCTTCTGTCTCAGTAATACTACACCAGTGGAATGATTATCAAGTATCTTACCTTCTGTCTCAGTAATACTACACCAGTGGAATGATTATCAAGTATCTTACCTTCTGTCTCAGTAATACTACACCAGTGGAATGATTATCAAGTATCTTACCTTCTGTCTCAGTAATACTACACCAGTGGAATGATTATCAAGTATCTTACCTTCTGTCTCAGTAATACTACACCAGTGGAATGATTATCAAGTATCTTACCTTCTGTCTCAGTAATACTACACCAGTGGAATGATTATCAAGTATCTTACCTTCTGTCTCAGTAATACTACACCAGTGGAATGATTATCAAGTATCTTACCTTCTGTCTCAGTAATACTACACCAGTGGAATGATTACCAAGTATCTTACCTTCTGTCTCAGTAATACTACACCAGTGGAATGATTATCAAGTATCTTACCTTCTGTCTCAGTAATACTACACCAGTGGAATGATTATCAAGTATCTTACCTTCTGTCTCAGTAATACTACACCAGTGGAATGATTATCAAGTATCTTACCTTCTGTCTCAGTAATACTACACCAGTGGAATGATTATCAAGTATCTTACCTTCTGTCTCAGTAATACTACACCAGTGGAATGATTACCGAGTATCTTACCTTCTGTCTCAGTAATACTACACCAGTGGAATGATTATCAAGTATCTTACCTTCTGTCTCAGTAATACTACACCAGTGGAATGATTATCAAGTATCTTACCTTCTGTCTCAGTAATACTACACCAGTGGAATGATTATCAAGTATCTTACCTTCTGTCTCAGTTTAGAAGTGATACCATGGAGACCCTTCTGAGGAGGTTCTACAATATCAGGAATTGGCAGTTCTGGTTGAGGGTGAGCAAGCAGAGAAAGCATGTTGTTACCATGACGCCAGATCTGTTTTCTAAGGGCAAATGGCTTCAAGAACTCGATATAAGAAACCCTATAAAAGATATAATATTAGAATAAAATTAAAGTGCCAATATGTTATGTCTGAAGTAATCCAAAGAGTTAATTCATAAAAAAATACTAAAAACATACCGTCCATCTCTTTTCAGATCAAACTTGTCACTGAGTTTGTTTATCTCAAACTCACTGAGATGTACACAGAGTTCGGTGAGAACATCCTTAAACTCTTCTCTTGTAATGTAGCCGGTTCCATAGGGGTCCATATCCACAAATTCCTTTCTAAGGTCCTCCCACATGTAATCAACCTAAAAAACAGATAAGGGATACCAATGTCAACAAAAATAATTACATGTAGTTGATTTCACACATAATTCAAAGATACCAACTAAGTCTTTTACGATAGGACTGAATCAGTTTTGTTTTTGTTGGCAAAAATTAATAAATCCCAAACAGATCATATCTGGGTAATATTTGCTAAAAGCAGCTGGAAAGACATGAAACATAAGGAAACAAAAAAGCTGGAGTTTAAAATTGATTCACTTCACAAGATCTTGGATTATATTGTTACCTTTGATCTCAAACTGTCCTCCAACATGTCGGCAGCACAGTTGAGTTTCCTTGATCTGATCATGTAGTCGGCGTCTCCTCTCTTGGGTGGGTTCAGTTTAGCATTGGGGAAGGAAGCCGACTTCTTTGAGAATCCAAAATGGCGGATAAACTCATGGTAGTCTAAGGTTTTGTCTGTATTGGTAATAAATGTCTTCCAAAGGTCTCTAATTTCTCCACGAGAAACTTCTGGTCTTATGTCAAATCTAGAAAATAATGTCATTACTAGTATATTTGTCCATTTCAGATGTTCAAAGAAAGATCTACGAGAATGCAAAACGATCCATAAAAATTTGCAAATACCTCTTAAGTAGTTGATACATCATTTCTTGTGATAGTCTTTCGCTATTTATTTCATCTAGTTCATAAAATATTCTTTCTATATCTTGGAATCGTCTGTTCATAAGATCTTTAATGACTTTGAACAGTTCCTGTGGCGTGCGGCGAACTTGAGCGTAATCTGCCATCACTGGTTCATCAATGACAAGTCTATCCACTGGGCTACCCTCTGGCATCTCTGGGGGACCTACTTCTGGGATCGGACTTGGTACCTTAGGAGGACCAGATGTATCCACATCCTTCTCTTTATCAAAAAGGCTCTTGGCTTTGCCTCTGGATTTAACAAATAAAAAAAACATAAAATCTTTCAATAGAATCATTTATTCTTGTAAAATTATCGTAAAGTTTGTGAAAAACATAGTATTAAGACTGCAAAACTTCTTTTATGCTCTTACTTTGTGTCAAATTGTTGCATAAAGTCAGCATATTTGATATTGCCATCATCATCTAGAGGAAGTCTGTCCACAAAAGCCTCAAACTGGTCATCTTGGAGGTGGAAATTAAAGCGACTCTCAATGGCCGCTCTGAATTCCTCTTGGCTGATTACATTTAGACCTAGTTTGTCTATGCTCCTATAATAATACGGAAAAATTTTGGCACATTACCCTTTGAATTTTTGTTACTGAAGAAAAAAACTGAATATTCAATTTTGTTATAAGTAAATGGTTTAAAGGACATACTTGAAGGTTCCTAGAAGAGCCAAGAAATCTCTCTGGAACATGTTCATTAACTGTACTTCAATACCACTAATTGAAGAAACCTGACTGGGGCTAGCGGGTCTGTCATTTACCCTGTAAATAGCAGTGGACATACATTAAACAAGTACTTCCTCAAATTTATATCTTGAATGATTTTATTCAAGAAACACAGAGAAAATCACCCAAGTGTAGAAATCCATTCGCTAAATAAAGGTGCTACAAGTTTGCTAAATCAGACCAACATTGAGAGATACCATGATTTTTGAGAGACAGAAAGACTATAAAAAAAGAAATGCAATCATTCTAAAACAGGAAAAACCGTTGAGCTAGAGAGTTGATGGTTGATGAATGAATCATGATGTAATGGATGTGTGTCTACTACCATCAGGCTTAGATCCCTGTCTCAACTACTGCCCAAAGTTAAAGAGGCTACACAGCTGGAATCACGGCACATCTACTGCACACCTGTATGAATAAAATTTAATAACTAACAATCTGACTAGCCTGTGCTTTGTGTTGGTCAGGATGTTGTGGGTCATGCCAATTTCAGAGCGGTCCTGGAATCGGTGGAGGAAGTCTCTGTAGGGAACTCCATCTCTGTGGGCTTGTACGGCACATCTGGACAGGAAGGCAGCAAGGAGCTTCTTCTCCAGCTTCAGGTGGAACTGAGCTAAAACTTCCAAGAAGTCGCCAAAACTCACCTGTCAAAAAAAAAGAACAAAAACGTATACCTCTCAGAGAATTTATTGCAATGTCAAATTCTATTTCATAATTCTCCCCAAAAAGATGCTGTAAATGACATACCACGCCCTTGTTTGATGAGTCTTTGGCCTCAAACGCCTCCTGCATCTGATGACATCCCTCTCTGAATTTGCTCTTTAACCAGCGCTCTATATCCAGGGACTGTTTCCTTTCAATCTCCTTCTTCCTTGGTGTTCTGTTCGATGAAGGTCCTATCAAGTAAAGACAGATGTTCCATAATTATTAAGTTTATTTTTCACTTTGATTCATTTTACAGCGGCATTTGGTTAATGTAGCAAAATAAAGAAAACAACAAGTAGGACGGAAATTAAAAACAAACAGCAACAGTTTTCTTCTTCATCTTTAATTTGCAATAATGCTAAAATCGATCTCGGCGATTGCTCTGCAGGAGGGTAACTACAAAGGGTTCTACAGCCTTTCTATAAACAAACTCTTGACTACCATTCCCAGTGATTGTGTTTTGGAATGCCAAAAATCATCCAAAAGATATAAAATTCCCTTGCAACCCATAATGCAATGCATGTATACCAATCAAATTTTCTGTCAGATCCTATGTGCTACAGGGAAGTTTTAAAGTGCTGGTGGATTTGATTACCCTCCATGATGGATGTAAATAGCTCTTTAAAATGATTCCCATCAATTATTCTAAAAAGGATTGCACTACAAAACACAAGGAGAATTCTACAAGCCCAAACACTTTCTCCTTTGCATGCAGTCAACCAATCCACGCTTAGTCTTACCTTCCTTCACCGTTACCTTTTTACCCGTCTTCTTGGAGTCTTTTCCTATCATTTTAAACCAACATAGTTATCCTTTGAATATGGTATTTTTGTAAATGATCGTATCCTGTCGGTGGTGAAGCACTTTATCTTACCTTGTACGGGAGATTTGATCCTTTCATCTCCATTCTCCAGCTGAATACCCAGAGCGTTCAGGAACTGTGGGCCGTTGACTGTTCCAGTATTGTTAGGATCATACCTACATTAAAACACCCAGTTTAATAATTTGATTTTTGATTCTGTCCATCTATTTACTAGTATACCCTTTTGACAATATTAATCTAATACATGGTTTTCATTCAATCAGGTTGTTTATCTATTTTTATTCCTTGATTTCTGTAAAATCGTACTTTTTCCAAAGTTTTTCAAATTCTGTGTCTTCCATGTAAAACATTAATTTATTCAGCATTTGTCTGAATTCGGGTTTCAGAATTCTTCCCGTTCCTCCTGGGTTCATTTGAGGTATTAAATCGGCAATATCTAAGAACCTGAAATTAAAGCACGCAAATTAGACCGTGACAAAAAAAATAAAACAATGGTGCAGTTTGGGTTATTGACACAAGGTGACGACAAAAAACCACAACGGGTGAGTACAATTAGATATTTTTCTCACTTTTGTCTAACTTTTTCTTTCAGTTGAGCGTGGACTTGTGACGAATTCATTGTAGCCTTGTCTGGCCACATACGCTGGACAGGGTCCATCCAGCGAGGATAGTCATTCTGAGCTTGTGCCTCGTGGAAGTAGGCGAAGAATTCGCTATAATTGATAATCTGTTTGTCCTTGAACCCTAGTCTGTCCATTAGTCGGTTAAACACGTTCTGAGATAGGTTCCTGTTTAGTATGGTCATCATAATTCTGTAGAATGCCTCCCTGTAAGTCAAGTTCATTTTATTGAGAACGTATTGGAAAATCTTGGAGTATTGCTGTAAATATTTCATAGCGGGTACATAAGAACTTTTTCAATTTTCGTTATAAGAGTGTTCGAACTCGATGCTTGTCAATCACCATATGATAATACCTAGAGACATTTCCTTTCTGTTCCGGATCGTTGTCCTTAAACTTCTTCTTGATTTCATAATAACTACCCTTAATTCTCTGCCTTAGCATGGTCTCTATCTGTTGTAAAATAAAATCACAAAGGATAAGATTTACCTGCCATAACTTGTTAAAGACATGGATAGAAATTTTTATGCATCACACCAATTTCCAAAAAAATTAGTAAAACAGGTATAAACTGCATTTGGGAAACCTGCTCTCTCGATTTTCGGCTAATATTTTGAGAAAAGGAACTATAGTTTACACTGTCAAATATTATTTAGGAAGTTTCCATCACGGTTTATGAAAATGTTAGGAGGCTGAAATCATTATATTTCACGACAAAAATATGTAATGTTTGTATTTTATGCTGCAGAAGCTATTCTATAATTTTTTTAAATATTGCAAGATTCTAATGGAACTGTAAACTATAGGCCTATACTGTATTTTTACAAATGTCCCCTTTTTTTTAATGATGATAACTAAATTTGAGGTATAATCCACGGTAACTCTAGGTTATATAATGACTTTTGTGTATGTCTGTAAACCATACCATAGCTAGGGTTTTACCCAACATTACTTTTGACACCTATACATAGGTTTGACTTTAAAGCAATTGTTTCCTCTTTAACTATTGTTTCAAATTAATAAAATAAAATCTGATAGCAGGAAAGCCGAGTTTACATATTTATCAGTCACTTGCAATACAAAAATGAATTTTACAAATCGACTTATCTTTTACATGTATTAAAAGGTTAATAGTGGTTTATTATTGTACTTTCGTACAGTTTGCAAAGCTTGGCAAAAACTAAATGAAATCGATAGGCCAGGTTTCTTCCAATTGAAAGCTGAATCACTCATTTTTTTTCAATCTCTCTCTCTCTCTCTCTATTTATGTCTGTTGCGAACTTTATTTGAACGGTGATTCAAATTTGCACTTGATTTTAAACATCAAGCTATACACTGTGTTTTGTTTTTTGTGAGGCTTCACTATTAACTTGTTATTGACTTAGAACATTAAGCTGGTTGTGTGTCTGTCGGTAGATGTCTTACTTCATCGATTTCTAGCCTGGCTTGTTGGGAGACTTGAGACAGGCGGGAGGACATTCTGCTGGGAGGGGCACCGTTCTCCATACGGCTCCCCATATCGGCGCGATTCCCTGTAAAGAAAGTGTCATTATTTGTCACTGTGTATATCAGTGTGTTCATTGAATTTCAGTAAACTTGATAAATAAAATGAATAACTTCATATTTTCTTGTAAACATTTACAAATTTTATCGCCCTCTTAACCGCAATACTATCTAAAAACATTCTATAATAAAATTGAGATATACGCCCTACTTGACAATGATTTGGTGGTTTTAAATTTTATCAAAGTGAAAGGTTGCTTACAATGCAAGAAATTGATTTACATGCATTCTTACATTTCAAGTTCTGTCTACAGTTTGTCCTTTAATGGTTATTGATAAATGACGTATCGACCAGAGAAAAACCTATTGAAACTCCAAAAAGAAAGGGTGCGATATGAACAACTCGAGACCATAAAAAACTCTAATCCAAGTGATATAATATACTACACTATATTTCATAAAACTGGCAGAAAAGAAAAAAAATTCAAAACTCTCTTTACAAGCGAAGTTAATTTATGCTAGGACTAAAGAAAGAAAATACTAATGATCCGTGGAAGAAATTATTCAGTGATATATACATATAAAAAAAAGAAATAAATCAGAAAGAGGAATCTACCCGGCTTTGCTTCACAGTTACTCTGTCCTGTAATAAACATGGAAACACCAATGTAAATTGACATCTGGTCATGGTTTTTATTGGCTAGGTTTAATGATAGAATCAGGGGGTCAGATATCCATTTTTTACATTTTAAATGACTTAAATTCAAACTAGATAAGATCAATACTGAATAGTTACTGAATCATCATTCATGATCAATATTTTATCATCACAACTGATTTAATTTCATACATTTCCTGAATGTCAATAGTATAAATGTTAATTCTAAATACGATAAGTAATTTCTCTGCGGTCAACCCTCATTAATTAGTACAGTGTTAACCGGTGGCCCTGGAGACGGGGTCGTGTTCAGTTACACCCCACTGGTATGGTTTAATGGTTGAATCGTTACCGAATTTAAATTGCCTTTCAAAACATGTCGGTTGAAAAGAATTAATATTGAATAAAAATATTACTTTTAAAGAAATACAAAGTGTATTGACATCACCAATATGTTAAATATTTTCAAGTGCTGGATGTCTAGAATCGTTTTGAATGGGGCTGTTAACCCCGTGGGTCCACGCGCTGACCGGTGAAATCTGGACTAAAGCTAAAACGATCATTTCCGAGCACAGGAAGCATTCTAAATGGTAAAGATTATTGAGTAAACTATTTGTTGGTCTTTCATTTAAAGCGTTTATGCCAAAGCAAACAGATATTTCGTGTGCCTAACACTTGAAGGAACCTCGATCTACCCGTTCGCCAAATCTGTTAGATAACTCCTGAATGTGTACTGCTACCTAGTCTTTAATCAAGCTAATCACCCAAACATGACAGTTTAAAAGTGTTTTGCACCTTGACATGCATTTAATTAAGATAATGACATTCAATAGAAAAATATAAATATATTTCTCTTATTGTAATTATACTATGGTTTAAAATTCCTACGCCGACATATGGAAGAAATCTCTATTTGAATCATAGAGTCAGTGGAAAATGACAAAATAATGATTACATACATTCAAATTTAAAGTTTCTTATATGAAAAACATTGAATAGCTGTGTAATAGGATATCAGAATGATTGCCATGAGATACGAGATTGGGGTGCAATTGCAAAAATTGAAACTGAGATAAAGAAAACGATTTAGTTATTCATTAAAACCCCCAAACAAGCAAATAATAATTCTTACCGAATACTGGCAGTCTGGTCTTCGTGGGGTCTCCGTAAGTGACCTCCACCCCCTCGGGAATGCTCTCTATGGGTAGAGGAGCCATCATCTGTCTGGATGCTACCCTACTATCCCGGCCATGGGCGCTCAGACTCTTTCTGGCAGTGTACATGTTCTCGTTTGCCAGCGGTCGACCAGTGGGGTGAGAAAGAGGTCTGTCTCCAGAGCGGGACACCCCTCTCACATCCATATTAGTGGGGTTACCCATGCGAGACAGTGGATGCTCAATATGGGGGAGATTCACTCCCATTTTTTGACCAATTGACGCTGGCCGAGGTATCCCTACCTGCGACATGTCTACTGCTTAAAAGTTTCTTCCAGTAGAATTCACTCCCGTCACAGTTTTCCCAGCAATTATTATATTTATGTATATAAACCCGTATAAGCCACTAGTCTACATATAGGACCTGTACTCCACATTCAAACAACCGGGTAGTCCCTAGCAACGATTGCCCGTTACCCCGGCACACTTGTCATTAATTTGCGCATGTATCGATAAAAGTCGGTATTATTTCCCCTGCTTTTTTGTTCAAGACCTATTCAGAATTGATCAGGCATTAAAGCCCTAGTTAAAAGGAAATAGTTCTTTAAATATCTTCAACATATAATCCACAACTATATATTTAAGCTGTATTCAATTGTACATATATCATTAAAAACATTTGTGGAGGCAAACATACACTAAAAATTTCTATCGATTTGGGGAAGAATTTACCATGCAAGTTAAATCGAATGGACATGTACACTGTATTCCCTTCCTTTTAATTACTTTTACTTCGTTTGAATTGACAGCAAACGAAAATCATTATCTCATTATGGTTTATAGGTAAAGATGCCACTGGAACTTTTCAGACAGATTAATGCGGAAACTTAATGTGGAATTATCGGGAAGAGTGAATCGATAGGGGCAAGATAATTACAAGCAATATTTGGTTAGAGAAACAATCAAAGTTTTGTTCAAATGGCTCGGAAGTTTACATCAGCCAGGATTTTTTGCAATTCTGGCACTGTCAAATGATTACAAAAGGTGGGACATTGCAAGCTGTTGATTCTGTAACCGAGTAGATAAAACTTTTATATATATATATATTTATATACATTTATTGCTCAACAAACCTCTTCAACCCAGAGCTGGGTTCTGACAACAAACATTTACACCTAATCTGCATTAAAAGCTTACATATTTATATAGGCAAACATCTTACACCGTCACTGCGGGAGACTTCTAAATTAAATGTCACGGCATTAGAACATCCGCTCAATGGGCTTCGTGAAAAAACGCAAATTGAATCGATCAGGTGACGAGTCCCACACTAATTCAATTAATAAGTCTTATGCTAAATGGCCAAATTTAAATCCTTCCGATATATTTCAGGTTGTAATTTCTAATCTTTGTAAGATTTAAGGGTTTAAATTTTTACACCAGATTGTACAATATTTTTAGAGATCTGAATGAAGCGGTCGACAATTTTATTGAAGCGAAAATAAACAACTCCGCGAGTTGAGAAGGGTTGGGTAGTACTCTACAATAAAACGACTTCGATATTTGTCTGTTATTAACAATTTTTTTAATAGATAAATTTTTAAATAGATTCTTAACAGGAGAAAATGGCAGATAATAGTTTGCATACATCTAACAAATCAATGAAAAATTTCATTTGTTTGATTTTTTCCTCCAACGTTAGCCTGTCAATATATGACAAAGCCATTAACAATTCCACATCAGAAACAGCCATGCAAACAGAAAAGAGATTCCTACAGAATTAAATAAAAATCCATTCCTATTGTTTAAGGCAATTCTTTTTTTAAAGCAAACAATGTCTTTGTTATTGATGTGAATGTGGGTTTGAATGTCTCTCATAGCTCTTGGCAAGAATTTCAATCCTATTACATGCAAATACAGAGATAAAATGTACATTAGGATTTCATCTCCAGGGCAGAATGCTGCACAATGAATACACCTGTATTCAAACACGAAAACTTAATGGCCAACAATAAGAATTATTATTATTATTATATATCGTATATATAAAAAATCCTTAAGCTGAGAAACACTGCTAATTCTAATGTCTAGGACATTCTTCATAATTTTCGTTATCTTGATTTGTACTACATGTATAATAAAATTATTTTGTTTTTGAAATACATTACCTAAGAACTCAAAAGCAACTTCTTTCATAGAAGTAGCTTTTGTCTCTAGTTTGAAATCATAGCATTACTGTACACCAGTCTAAATAACAAATAATGCAAATGCAAGATATTAAACATGACACTGTACAAAATTCAAAAATACACCCTTCTTTCCAGCAGTAACATTGATGAATAATAATACACAATATGGTTTAAATGTTTTATTTTGTACTTTGAATGAAAAAGTACATAGGTGATAATTTATTATCCTACAGTTAAAATACAGAACTGATCTTTAATTCTTCTGTGACAGACACTCGACATCCTTTAGTCTCTCCTATTTTTAACGATGTCCAGCCTCACTTGTCCAGCTCCATGGATTCTGGTTCTTGTGCTACCATTTCCTCTGGATTCTTACCATATACTGGGTTAGGTATATCCCTCCTCAATTCAAATATCTGTAATTACAGGATCAGGAGAATCAATTTGATACTGTACATGTATATAAATGGATGTATTCAAAATTTAGCGCATTCACTCGGTATTGAGTGTATGATGTAATCATGAATTAGCGCTACTCAAGTCCACACCATGTGTTGTATTTATTTAACAAATTATTAATAGTACATGTATTCGTGAATTAGCACAAAGTTGTCTATGCCAAAGCCACTAAAATATGAAGCCCCTGGGGTTGAAATATACAGTAGCCCAAAGCCCAGGGCTAGTCATTTTAAGACTCGGGCTAGCCAATTAAAATGTAATGATAATCTGTCGGATTAGCAGAACGGAAAAAATATTCTCATCAGTTTACTTTCGCTTCTCTGTCAATCACCACAGGGTTTGAAACTTTAACTTGTGATGTTTTCGCATAAAAAATTGTTGAAGTAGTTAGTTTGAGGTTTGGGCTAGTAATTTTTTACTGATCAGAAGCCCCTGGGCTAGTGGGTTTTCCAAGAAAATTTCAACCCCACAGCCCGCTTTTTTAAGTAAACCTACAGTAAATTGAAATGGGAGGAGCAGGACTTTGATAATTCTGGATGTAAGAAAGACTTCCAATAAAGTTCATGGAAGAAGACACACTGAAATAAAATCTAAACGATTTTGATTAAATCTGAATGGAGGAAGCTTTGTGAAGTCTACATTAAGGCTTTGTTAAATCTACATGGAAAGAAGGCTTTAATGTGAAATTTACATGGAAGGAGAAAGGATTTGTTAATCTTGATAAAAGTAGGGTTTTGTTACATCTGGATGGAAGGAGAAAGGCATGTGAAATCTATATGGCAGAATGGCTTTGTTAAATCTGGATAGAAGGAGGAGTTTGTTAAATCTGGATAGAAGGAGAAGGGATTTGTTAAAACTGGATAGAAGGAGAAGGGGATTTGTTAAATCTAAATGGAAGGTGAAGGGCATTGGTAAATCTGGATGCTAAGAGCAGGATGTTAGATCTGGATGATACGAGCAGGAATTTGTGAAATCTGGATGATAAGAAAAGGGCTTTGTTAAATCTGGATGATAAGAGAAGGGATTTGTTAAATATGGGTGGAGGGAGAATGGCTTTGTTAAAATATGGATAGGAGAAGGGCTTAGTTAAATCTGGATAGATGGAGAATGAATTTGTAAAATCTAGATTGGAAAAAGAGCTTTGAAAATCATGAAGGAAGGGAGAGGGGATTTCTGAAATTTAGATGAAGGGAGAAAAGCTTTGTTAAATCTTGACAGAAGAAGTGCATTGTTAAATCTGGATAAAAGGAGAAGATCTATATTTAACCTGAATGGAACAGGGCTCTGCTAAATCTGGATGGAGAAGGGCTTTTAAATTTTAATGTAGAGAGGCTTTTTTAATCCTTAATAGAAGGAAAAGGGACTTATTAAATCTGGATCGAAGGAAAAGGGCTTTTGTTTTCTGGATATAAGAAGAAGAAAGGCTTTGCTAAAGCTGGTAAGGAGAAAAGCATGGTTAAAACTGATTTAAATGAGAAGGGCCCTGTAAAATCTGTCAAAATGAGAAGGGCTTTGTTAAATCTGGAAAAAAGGAGGAAAGCTTTGTAAATCTAGATGGAGGAAAAGGGTTTTGCTCTATCTGGATGATACAAGAAAGGCTTTGTTTAAACTTGAATTTACACTGACGATGCTTCCATATTTCCTTGACTAATCATGGCCTTGGAAGATTTTTCAAGATTTTTCCTAATTATATGTTTGATCTTCTGAATTATTATGACTAATAATGGCTTTGTTGTTCTCAAGAAGAAGATTGTTAATGTTTTTTCCTATATATTCCTTTGTTTAACTTTGATCCCCTGTGTGGCCCCTCTCTACTCCTGGGGGTCAAAAGTTGAACAAAATTGAATCTTCATTACCTGAGTATACTTCTATATTAATATGACTAATCATGGTTTTGTTATTCTTGAGAAAAGATTTTAATTGATTTTTCCTAAACATTCCTATGTATAACTTTAATCGCCCACTGTGGCCCCACCCTACCCCTAGGGTCATGATTTGCATAAACTTAAAACTACACTACCTATTGATATGACTAATTTTGGCTTAGCTGTTCTTGTGAAGAGGATTTATAAAGATTTTTCCAATGTATTCCTATATAAAATTTAATTGCCCATTGTGGCCCCACCCTAGTCCTGGGGGTCTTGATTTTAACAAACCTGAATCTACACTACCTGAGGATGCTTCCATGTAAACATGACTAATTATGACTTTGTTGTTTTTTAAAGATTTTTCCTGTGTACTTCCATCTAAAACTTTGATTGTCCACCCATCATGACCCCAGAAGTCATGATTTAAACAAACTTGAATCTACACTACCTGATGATGCTTCCACTTAAATTTCATATTTTTTGGCCAGTGGTTCTTGACAAGATTTTTTTTATAGATGCCATTAATATCTCCCCTTGAAAGAACGCATGGCCCTTCATTTGAATAAACTTAAATTCCCCTTACCCAAGGATACTTTGTGGCAAGTTTGGTTGAAAATGGTCTAGTTGTTCTTGAGAAGATGAAAATGTGAAAAATTAATGGACGGACAGACAGACAGATGTCGGACAAAATGTGATCAGAAAAGCTCACTTAAGCCTTCGGCTCGGGGAGCTAACAAAACGAGAAGGGACTTAGAGCCAAATAGAACCTGAACAGAGAGAGAAAGGAATTTGATAAATCGGAATAGAGGGGAATAGGGTTTTGATAAATCTGAATAGAGGGAATAGGATTTTGATAAATCTGAATGGAGGGAATAGGGTTTTGATAAATCTGAATGGAGGGAATAGGGCTTTGTTTAACCTGAATGGTAGAAGAAGGGTCTTGATAAAAGTGCTTAATAATTTAAACCTGAATGGAAGGAGGAGGATTTGGATAAACACGAATGGAAGAATGGTCTAGATAAAATTAAATGGAAGAAGGGTCAATAAACTTGAATGGAAGAAGGGTCTTGATAAACATGAATGGAAGAAGGGTGTTGGTAAACTTGTATGGAACCTTGAGATAAATTATAAATTTTATGACAGGAAATCTTACTGACCTGTTTATACATGTAAAACTTTTTAACATTAAAGATCAATTCCTGTCCTGCATATACAACTTACAATCTCACAGATGTCAGTAGATATAAACTACAATTTTCTGACGGTAGAGATGAATAGAGATGAATATGACTTGTACATAACTCTCTGATTGTAGATATGAATGACTGACCTGTATATAACTAATTACTGACCTGTATATAACTCTCTGATTGTAGAGATGAATTACTGACCTGTTTATATAACTCTCTAATTTTAGAGATATATTACTGACCTGTATATAACTCTCTGATTGTAGAGATGAATTACTGACCTGTTTATATAACTCTCTAATTGTAGAGATATATTACTGACCTGTATATAACTCTCTGATTGTAGAGATGAATTACTGACCTTTATATAACTCTCTGATTGTAGAGATGAATTACTGACCTGTATATAACTAATTACTGACCTGTAAATAACTCTGATTGTAGAGATAAATTACTGACCCTATATAACTCTCTGATTGTAGAGATATATTACTGACCTGTATATAACTCTCTGATTGTAGAGATAAATTACTGACCTGTTTATATAACTCTCTGATTGTAGAGATGAATTACTGACCTGTATATAACTCTCTGATTGTAGAGATTAATTACTGACCCTATATAACTCTCTGACTGATAAGATGAATTACTTACCTGTATATAACTCTCTGATAGAGGAATCATTTGAGGAAGAATGTCTGTTACATGAAGGTCCTGCATCTCATACCACTTCTGAGTACCCTGTGAAAAAAAACATATTTCGTTAAATGAAATAAGGAGACAGTATTCAACCTCAATAGTCCATTCAAACAATGCAAATTGGGAGCAGAGCAAACACAGACCTCTAAAACATCAGAGGTGGGATCATGTGCCATGGAGGAGTAAGCGCTCCCTGCTGACTGGTAACACCCGTCGTGTGCTCCTTGTCATGATTGGGGAAAATGGAAAAATCCATAGACAATTCAGTGTGTAAATAATGGCCTAACAATTAGTATGAAAAATGTCAGTCATCATTGGATTGTATTTGCTGACAAGGTCATTGTATTGACCATGGAACTTGTGATATGATGAATTTAAACAAGACTATTAATATTCTTGTTTCATCAATTTGTTTGTCAATAGCTTGCCTCTGTAGAAATTGTTCTTCATACGTAGAGCATGCCCTTGCATATCAAATCAACTGAGAGACATAAACCCCATATGCAGGTGATATAGGTATATTGCTATATAAGTAAGGGAAGTTGACGATAGAAAAGTTGAAGTCATCATGATTATCATAAAGCTTTGTTGTTTGGCCACCATTAATGTCTTTTTCTAGTAAAATATCCAAATATGAAACAGATGTGTCAGACTCTGTGGTACCTTTTTTATCAAGCTCACTGGGATAAACTGAGTCGACATATGAATGGTAACTATTGTTAATTGATAATACGTCGTCGATATATCTAAATGTCGAGTTAAAGGCCACAACAAGTGTTTTTTTCTTCTCATGTATAAGATTTTGAATAAATTCTGCTTCATATGAATACAAAAATCAGTCTGGTATTAACAGGGCATAATTGGTACCCATGGGAATTCCGACAGATTGTTGAAAGACCTGGTCTCCAAAAACTACATAGATGTTGTCAATCAGAAACTCAAGCATCATTTTAATATCAACTTCAGAGTACTTGTGTGTACAATCAGAGTGTTTTTTAACAAAATAATATTGATAAAAATAATAAATTAATCTTAATATATGCTGTCTACTTAATATCCAATTATTAACATTCCTTTTGTGTATCATAGCTGTCATTGATGAGAATTCCAGATCCATAGAACAATGATAAATGATACAATTTATGAAAAGATTAGAGTACAAGTACTGAAAACTCTGAAACATGTTTTCATTTCCAACATATAATTAAACAAACTTTTCATATGCAAAAATAGTAAGTTATGCAAAATCCATGTAAAAAGGGAATTGTTAATTACTGTACTACCTGGTATAAAATAAGGTACAAATCTGTTTCAGAAATTAGTCAATACAGCTTAAGCTGCAATTCACATTATGAACAATCTGTCCATTACAAAGCCATTTTCCCTGTATGATATCACATCTTAAGATAACTTATACTTAACTTTTAATATAATTAATTCAGCTGATGATCTACAGTTTCAATTTAATTGTGAAATATCTCTAATGTATTGATCCTCAAACAATGTATCAATATTGTATCAAAACAATGAACCTGCCTACTCCTTTCATTGCAGAGATGCAATCCAAATGCTCATTTTGGTTGAATGTCAGAGATAAAGGTGTAATTCTTCATATTTTCCTATTTTGATGTTTCACTATGATAGTTTGTAATCTAACACAGGCTTTATGTAGTATATCATTTAATAAAGGATATTATTCATTGACAACTTCTATGTTCTGTAAAACAATGGCATCCTTACATCCCAACATGTCAAACATTTAATAACATGTCAAACATTTAATATTCCATTCTTGGTTAAACTTTTGGTGGTATCAATAGCACACGTATCAGTACAGGTCAACTTGATGCATTTGCATCTCCTTCTTCCAAATATGGGCATGTGCTGTGTGTTAAGTTTGGAAGCCATCTTAGATACAATAAATCATTTTCTATATTGTACTCTTGAAGAGCTATAGCGCCCTTGATATACAAAGCATATCATGGAATATCATGAAATACCATGGAATTCAAGGTAATCAATGTTTGTGGGCAAAATTTTACTGATTCGTGGGGACAAAATTTCGTGGGAAACCCACTTTAAACAGATGATTCAATGAATCAATCCTCTGACAAAGATCATTTGTGGGGATGTAAATTCGTGGGTAAGGTTGATCAACAAATTCCATGAACATTTGTCTCCCAAGAACAAGGATGATTCCACTGCATACAGAGACAAAATGTGTAATAAAGCCTTACCTTGTGTAGGACATGGACCCTGTAGGTTCCTTTTCCTCTTTCTGGCTCTCCATCATGTACAATGTTGGCCATGAGATCATACGTAGTGTTTTTGTGTAAAACTCTGTGTTCTGGGGCTAATAAATCTCCAAAATCAATGTTTCTGAAATTCAAGTAAATTGTGTTTAAAAAATTTAATTAAGAGATAGAACTCTGGTATTATCTTGTATACTGTAATCTACATTATATGAATGATGCAAGATGAAATTTTAATTGTTCAACAGAATCTGATTAAAGATCAAGCTAAAATTTGAAGAAAAAAAAATAAGTTGTGCTTTACAAAACATACTTGATAGGAAAGTTGACAATGGTAGGATTTTTTTCTTTGATGAAGTAATTCTTGGTAAATCTCTAAAAAAAAAAAAAAAAGACAGTATGTATTTATAGGTTTGATGTAACCAACAAACAAACTTGAATTCAGCAGAACAGAGCAATTATTACCTTAATAAAAATGATGACAAAGTTTGGTAATCTTGTGATCTGGAATCGCTTCAGCTGTGAATCCTTGTGGGTCTTATACTCCTTCTCTGATACACCATTAAATTTGGTGAGAAGTGTAGCAAATGGGATCTGAGGGATGATGTTTTCCTGAAGTTCATCAGGGTAAAGGGGCGGAGGTGGAAGGTCACAGGTCAAGTACAACCAAGGAATCTCCTCCACATGTTCTAAAATATTTTTAAAAATTATACATTTATCTGCCAACCAACACAAAACAGTGGTTTTATCTTAAATTCCATCTCTGATATAAGGAGATATTCTTTAATATTGCAATAGTAATTTTTTTTAAAGCAACCATACCTAGATATTCATCTGTCATAAGAAGTTTCTTTTTCTCTTCTTCTTTCTAAAAAAAAAAAATCCAGTATTCAATTAAGCCCACAAAAAAGGAATGAGGATAGATAATTATTAATGTATAATTCTTGCACTTGGTGTCACTCATATATCTGTACAAGAAATATATTTTCTTAGGTACAACTTACCAAATCAATGGGCAGAACTTTTCTTGTGAACACTTTCATTTTTCCTCGAAAAGTTTTGTTCACAATGGTGCTGTTTAGTTTTCTGGTTCCATTCATGGCCAAGTGAAGAGCATTCAGAAACCAGGACATAAACTCCAGTGCATCACCTAGTGACAAAAGTCAGAAACTGCAGTCAACTGAAGTCTTAATTAAAGAGTGTACGGTAGCAATGTCAAATCAGGTTCAATGATTACAAGTTCAACATTGAAACACAATAAATTATAATGTCTTTATAATATTAAACCTGAAAATATCATTTTTAAAATTCATCAATTGAAATATTTATAAATTATATTTTAAATTTATTGATTGAATTATTAAAAAATTATAAAAACTATTGGATTTGGAATTGGAATTACATATATTGGACCTTATTGGGTTTTTATAGTTGTTTATATTTTATTTCCAGTAGTGATTAATACCGTAAACATTGTTTATTGGATAAATGTGTCTTTTCTTGAAAATATGAAGAAAAGCAAATGATTGTAAAAATTAATAAATTTAAAATAATTTATTCATAACAGTTATCTTTCTATACATTATATTTTACATATAATATATATAGCAATTAATCGAAATGCTTAATACAAAAATTAGATGCTAAGGGGAATATAATTTATATTTTTGCTAGACAAGAGACAAAAATTTATCAACTCAGTGATATGGTTGGATTTTAACTTATTGTTGACTATTCTATAACATCAGTGAGTAGAGTATATAAAGAGTAGAGTACCCTGCTCCGTGATCTGGAACTTCTTTTTACTACAGAGGACAACTGCCTGCAACATCTCATGTGGACTGACATGAGCCTTAAAATTTCTGGGATTCCAGAGTTTTCTAAGGAGTTCTCCAAACCTCTGAACAAGTAAAACCATCTGATCCCCTGGAGGCCTCTTGATTTTCTTGTAATTTTCTTCTTGTAAAAAGAAATTTCTAAGGGGTGTAACATGTGACAAAGCCTGAAAAAAAAAAAAGTAATCAAATATTATGGTTACATGTATTATGCTGAGCCCAATTACATCAAGAACATTACATATTTAAGAAACACATAAGTTCAATCTTTTTTTTTGTCCCCATGGGTCTGTAGAAGATATTTAAATGATTTATTAATTTTCTTTTCGTAGAGTTTTACCCCTTAGTTGAACCCTCTCTGCTCAAAGACATCTTGTGACTACTTGTTAAAATATTTACTGATAAACTTCTCTTCAACACAACTCACTATACATAACCTCTTCAAAGTTTGAAGCCAAAAGTGAAAAACATACAGTACTGTTTAACATCAGATAAGGGAAGGTACACTGATTTAGAATAAAAAAACAAAACTGTTACCATTACCTGTAAAATGACATTACAATAGTCATTTTCCTTGATGTTGTTCAAACCCACAATACCTAAAATGAAAATAAAATGGAATCAAACAGTCATTTTTATATCAAATCCACAATATAAATCATCTGATTTCAAATCTGCAATCCCAAAATTATGAAAAATATTAGTATTAGGAATTACAGTCTCTGCTGTTGGACTCTATGATGAGGTCATTAAAAAAAATCTTGATGTTTAATCCAAATTCAATTTGCAGTAGAAAATCAAATCTGGATTATGCATTATGCAAATTTTGCCATTATTTAAAAGATACTTGCTTAAAAAGAGAATACTGGTACTCAGAAAAAAAGCTTGAAACTGATGCTTTAGCTGTAAAACATAGGTCACAGACACATGCAGAATTCAATACGATTGGTTGTATCTCCCAAAGCAAAATATGTTTCAGTAATTTTTGAGCTTGCAATTATTGAGAATTGACTTGCTCTTATTGCTTTAACCATTCATCCAGTAAATATAGTGAAATATGAAGATTACAAACAGTAATCAAGCTCAACAGTCCATTGGAACAACACAATTTGGGAGCAGAGCAAACACGAACTCTAAAAACATCAGAGGTGGGGTCAGGTGCCATAGAGGAGTAAGCATCCCCTGTTGACTGGTAACACTCGCCATGTGCTCCTCGTCATTATTGGGCAAACGGAATAGACAGTTCAGTGTGAAAATTATGGTCTAACAATTCTTATGAAAAATGTCAGTCAACATTCGACTTAATGGTAGACTGTACATTTACAAGACCAGGCCCATAACATGTAAAAAGAATTTTTTGAATACTTAAATAGAAATGTAGGAGTTGTGATGAAAACAAAAATGCGACGGAGAGATGGACAGATAGATGGAGATAACCAAAACATATACCCAAACTTTCTGTAGAAAGTGCAAGTTACTTATCTAAAATCAAATCAGAATTTAAATACATGTATTATTCATGTTCATACCTGGTAGGTATGTTGTGCCATCATATGCTCTAGAAAGCTTACTGCTGGAGTCTAGAGATGCAATGTGTTCATCACTAAATGTGGGATTCAACACATACTGGAATAAAAAAACCCACATATTTTCTTTTAAAAAAAATGAATGCAAAATTAAAAAGATCTGAAAGTTTATTTTTGCTTCATTCAATGTCAATGATTTGATAATGAAACAAGTAACGTACAATGATATCATACATGTAAGCAAATGACCTGATACCTAACATGTGACTTACAATGATGTCATCCAGAGAAGAATCAATGATCTGGTAGTTGTCTGGCAGGCAGTAAAATTTCTGGGTCAATAAGTTTAAAAATACATGATGACTTTCCTGAACACTGTGAGTGTAGGCGTGAGAGAGTTTTCCACGACCTGAAATGTGTTGATGGTATTGTTAATTCTTTCAAAATAAATACTTGTATGGATATAAAGATATATTAAAGACAAACAATCATATTCATAAATCACACTATAAAAGAACAAATACCTTGAAAGTACTTCCCACACACTAGACAGGCATACACATTAATGTGAGAGAGTGACACAGAACAAAGTTTCTCAAAATCAAAGTCTAGGACAGATCTGTAATGAAACAAGTCACACTTTAAATGTGATTTTGCATAATTAATAAATGAATGTGAAATACATATACTTAGATGTACTCAGATAAGTAAGTTTTTTTCATAGTATACCTGTTGATTGTATCAAGATAAGGACAGGACCGACTTCTGTCAACTTTAGGATCCTGAACAGCTTCTACAATACATGCAATAACATTGACATAATACTAGCACTTTTAATCTGTCTGCTCCTCAAAGATTCTTAAGTTTGTAAGGACTGAGTGCAATTCAGAAACACCTGGTAAATATTTGGCCATAAATTAAACTTTGCTGAGATTTGGCTTGGCTGGATATTTGGACTGATGTCTTCAACAAATCTCAAGACAGACCTTTAGAATTCATGTTTTGAAATCCATTATTAGCTTTGGCTGGTTATAACTATTTTTTTTTTTTAGATTTTTAGACTTAAGCAAGATTAGGCATTAAATGTCTGCTGAAGTCCTTTTAAATATATGACATTTATTTATTTCTAACACTTTGTATCTAAGCAAAGAATTAAGAAAGCAGAATCAAATCCCAATTATTTGAAATGACCTTACATGATGTAATTATTGGAACAACTTTACTTTACAGGTTCCCAGAAAAACAAGCTAAAATATAGTGTCGCTGCAAGCGACTTCAATATATATGAGATCACGTGAGCGATCGGGGAAAAAAAAAAATTAAAAGTATGAGGTTTTACTGTTTTTTTTGACCCCAAAATTGAATTCTATGGTTAAAAGTTTAGTTTTAAAACTTTGTTTTTAAGGCCATCATTAAAAATATCTTTGTTTCCCCTAACCCGACCCAAAAATCCCAAGTTGGGTAGGTAGGTAGGCAAATAATTTTTTTTGACAGCAGCTTTGAAAATACATTCTTAAAATTGAATGGAATGATACCTTGAAAAAGACAGCGATTTGTAAACAGCTAGAGTACCATACAGATGCCGTTTAGACTCAACATTTAAAATACATTTATTCACAGCTATTATTCAATCGAAAAATATCTCGTACCAGAGTAAATTTGTTGAAATTGAATACATCTGTTTAAAAGATTCTCGGGTACGCAAAGACTGGACATCAGAGTATATACATGTATGTAGTTTTTCAGGGCTTCAAAATATGCAGTGGTTCCAGAGCATTTCGTTTTGGAGTCTCGAAGTAAGGAGCTATTTCTAAGTTGAAGGTTCAAATCCCAATGGGGGACGTTGAGACCTGTTCTTCAAGTGAGACCAAAAAGAATTAGGTCCAATGTCGCAGTAGATACTGGCACAAAAAAGATCCCTTACAGCTCAATGGCCTAAAGTGTTGCGTACAACTCTAAATTTGGAGCCCTTCACTAGACAAATGTTTAAATAAATGTTGTTGTCCCAATAATTATCAAAGGAATTCAAATCAAAGGAACAACCAATTTTCAAGGGCCTTGAAGAAAAATACAGAGCTTGTATCACAATTTCAAATCTATTTTAAAAAAGTATGTTAACACTATTTAATTGTGACAAACCAAAGGAATATTGATGAACTGTTTATAAGATCAAAGCTCAAATTAAATAAAACGCAGTAAATTGATTGGTGTGTTCACAATGTGAGCCCTTGTCTGCACATGAAGGGTGTCATTAGGAGGGCCTACGGGTCTAACCATGCTCTCTATACGTACCTTAATTTTAAGACAGGTTAGTAAATACAACCAACACTCTCTTAATAGGTCATTGTATATTATACTTTATTAACAAAGTGTTTCAAGAGTGTAGGATTCTTATATGCTGAAGGCATAAGGTTGATACGTTACCTTTCTTTTAAAACACGAACTAACCCTCCGTGACCACATATTATGGGTGCCATTTTGTTTCCAACAAACGCTTGACACTCACAGAATAAAATCAGACTTTCTGATAAAAACGGATTTTGATGGAATTCTATTTTATAAAAGTTGATAAACATTAAAAAAAAATTATTGAAATAATCTTATAAAAAAAATTTCCAGTCGGTGCATTTCAATTGGGTCGGTTGCGTTAGGGGAAACAAAGGTATTTTTTATTTTGGCCTAAACTAAGTTTTTAACCTTGTTATCTGAAAAAAAAGTAATTAATATTGTTTATTCAGTGAAAAGGAGACAAAAAATACTTGTCAAGAAGTGCATGTGGGGCATGCCTAATACCTTTTCTTTCATACTTAGCCTTTTTTCATCTAAACAAACCAATGAGATGTTGTTGAAGCTGAATTTTGATCTTACAAAAAATACAGAAGCAACTGAATTTCTTAATTAATCTAAAAGAACACTAACCCTAATGTCTCGGATGGTATGCAAGGACTAATCCAAAGGTCCCAGGTGGATGCTAGAATAACCCATGTGCTAGGACCAACCCTAATCTCTAGGATGAATGCAGGACTAACCCTAATCAGTCGAAAACTTGTGCAAGGACTAACCCTAATCTTTCAGGTGGGTGCAAGACTAACCCTTACCAATTGAAAAATGTGCAAGACTAACCCTTTTTAGTTGAGTGATGTAAACCTTACGTCATAGTGCAATGAGTGTGCAGATCTTGTGGATCTGGGGACCGGTAAAGTAAAGTCTACCCATGATTATTAAAACTAGAAATATATCCATAGGACATGAATGCCCCGCCGAGGGTATATTAGTAATGCAACATGAAAATTTGTATTAGTGTATGGAATTTGAAGAGAATATCTTGAATAGTTTCTTTGAAACTGAAATCTAACAAGTTAGATATAGATGATAAATTCTCACCAAATTATGTATAAGTGCAAAAGCTTACATAAATATATCTTGAATGGTTTCTTTAAAACTAAGCAAAATGCAAATTTAAGAATAGTGAGGTCAAGATCACAAGAAAGTTCAAGGTCAAACATTTTTGATGCAGTTGCATAGTTCTCACAAATATGTATCAGCATATTAAGTTTGATAAAAATATTTTGAATGGTTTATTTAAAATTGAGCTAAACACAAATTTAAAATAAATGAAGTTAAGGTCAAAGGACAGGTCAAGGTGAAGTTAAGGTCAAAGGAAAGGTCAAGGTAAAAAAAATGTTGATGCAGTTGTAAAGCTTAAATAAGTATGTATTAGCATTTGAAGTTTGATAAAAATATTATGAATGGTTTCTTTAAAACTGAGTTAAACACAAATTGAGAAAAGTGAGGTCAAAGTCAAATGAAAGGTCAAGGTTAAAAGATGTTCATGCAGTTGAATAGCTCTCATCAGTATGTAACAACATATGAAGTTTGATAACATTATCCTGAATGGTTTCTTTAAAACTGAGCTAAACACTAATTTAAGAAAAGTGAGGTCAAGGTCAAAGGAAAAGTCAAGGTCAAAAGATGTTGATGCAGTTGAATAGCTCTCATCAGTATGAAGTTTGATTACACTATCTTGAATGGTATCCTTAAAACTGAGCTAAACACTAATTTAGGAAAAGCGAGGTCAAGGTCAAAGGAAAGGTCAAGGTAAAAAAAATGTTGATGCAGTTGCATAGCTCTCATCATTATCTATCAGCATATATAGTTTGGTGAAAATATCTTGGACAGTTTCTTTGAAACTGAGCTTTGAACTGAGCTAAACACAAAGTGCGACGGAAGGACAGATGGAAGGATGAAAGATGGACATGATAAAACACTATATGCCCCAGCCATATTCATGGTGGGGCATAAAAATCGGTTAACATAGCTAAAAATTAACTCAAGATGTATTTTGTACCATAATCGTCGTCGTCCTCATTGTAGAGATCAACATTCAGTGGGGCTGATGGGGGTGATGTCTTTTCAGCCTTGACTTTACTCTTCAGTTGTTTCCCTTCAAGGGACTTTTTTGGTGATTTTGCAGGTTCATGAAAATCTTTTTCCACTTTAACTTTTACTGGCAAGACTTTGCTCTTTTCTTCGTCTTCTGTGCTCTTTTGTTCTAACGAGGTATCGCCGGCATTGTCAGACCTCTTTTTCAGAATACTACGGGGTTGTGGAGTAGATGTCTCCCTGTCACCTTCACTTGAAGTTCTAGATTTTTTCAAAATTGACTTCACAGGATTTTCTGCACTTTCCTCTTCTTTCTTTTTTCGTTTCAGAATGCCTTTTATCGGATTATCTGTCGTATTTCGGTCGTTCGAGTCCTCATTTTCCGCCATACTTTGCTTCTTGTGTGAAAAACGTCATCAATTTTGTGCAGAAAGTTAAACAACTCGTGCGTTTTATATATTTGCATTCCATCAGTTTTGCAGCACATGGTTGCCTAAAAATCGAAAACTAAAATTTCTTGTTTTATGGTTACTGTACATACGTCATTCACAGTTGAATTAACGCATTTTTTTCAGAAACAATATGCTTCTGAAAAATATACGAAAAAATGACGTATGACCTAAGATAAAATGGCTGCTGGCGTTCGATCAAAGCTTGATATGAAACATGGTTTTATGAAAAGTATTATACAAAATCAAGTGTCCAGGTAAAAAGTGTTATTTTTGATTCTAGATAATAGCAATGACCACTAGGAAGAACCTTCTGTCGTTAAAATATAGTCCTATGAACTCTGAACACAGCCACAGGTACTTTGGTCTTGTACTGTACGTTATTGATATGTAACAGGTCCAAAACAATCAGAACATTTAGCTACGTAGCTAAAATTACCTACCGTAGCTTTATTTACCTACCTCGGGTAGCTTTATTTAGCTGTTTCAAGGCAAGTTTTCACAATTCAGGGCTCTCTCACCACTTTTAGGGACTGGGGCCGGGGCCGTTCCAATTAGGAAAATTTTCGTCATTTTGGGGAAAATTGGGAAAACGTGGTTCCTTATCGAAGCCGAATCAGCTTACATATATAGGTGACATGCACTAATTTATACAGTTCAACACAGAATTAGTTTTTTTCACTCTCATTTGTTGGTGATTAAGTTTCATTGATTAAGATTAAAAAAAAAAATATTTTGCCATAAACATGATAAAAGAATTGGGAAATTTACACTTTGCTTTTGGGAAAAAGGTACATTTTTAGCTCACCTCGACGAAGTCGAGATGAGCTTATGCTATACCCCTGGCGTCGGCGTTAGCGTCAGCGTCCCGGTTAAAGTTTTAGGAGCAAGTTCCATTCCCAAGTAACTGTTAGCCCTACCTGGACCAAACTTGCATGGATGATGCATCTAGGGATGGACACTACCACACTTGCTTCGGATGCTGGGTCTGACCTAGATTTTCCAGATGAGTGACCAGGTTAAAGTTTTTGGAGCAGGTCCATTCCCAAGTAACTATTGGCCCTACCTGGACCAAACTTGCATGGATGATGCATCTAGGGATGGACACTACCACACTTGCTTTGGATGCTGGATCTGACCTAAATTTTCCAGATGAGTGACCAGGTTAAAGTTTTTGGAGCAGGTCCATTCCCAAGTAACTATAAGCTCTACCTTGACCAAACTTGCATGGATGATGCATCTAGGGATAGACACTACCACACTTGCTTCGGATGCTGGATCTGACCTAGATTTTCCAGATGAGTGACCAGGTTAAAGTTTTTGGAGCAGGTCCGTTCTCAGGTAAGTATAAGCCCTACCTTGACCAAACTTGCATTGATGATGCATCCAATGGATGGACACTACCACACTTGCTTTGGATGCTGGATCTGAGCTAGATTTTCCACATGTGAGACCGGGTTTAGATTTTGGAGCAGTCCCGTTCCCAAGTAACTGTAAGCCCTACCTGGACCAAACTTTCATAGATGATGCATCTAGGGATGGACACTAACCAACCTGCTTCGGATGCTGGATCTGACCTAGATTTTCAACATGAGTGAATTTTAGCCATATTTTAACCAAATTAGCATGGAGGATGTATCTAGGGATGGACACTACCAGACTTGCTTTGGATTCTGAATCTGACCTACATTATCCAGATGAGTGACCAGGGTAATTTTTTTGGTGTAGCTATGTAATATTATGGCCTGTTATGATTAAACTTGCATAGATGGTGCATCTAAGGATGAAAACTTCCAGACTTGCTTTGGATGTTGGAACTGACCAAAATTTTCTTGATTACTAAACAGGTTAAAAGTTTTTTTAGCAGGTCTATTTTCAAGTAACTACAAGTCCTACTTAAACCAAACTTGCAAGGATATTGATCTTGGGATGTTCCCTAACTAGAAAAAAAATATGATGTGAAATTTGCCTTATTTATAGATAACATTCGTCGAGGTGAGCTTCATAATCTTTGATTACCTATGTTTTGCGTTGGGAATGGGGCCGTTCAATGGCCCCAATTATAGAGAATCAAGAGCCCTGCAATTCTTCTTTTTATTTTAAAAATACAAAGAGTCTGCAAGTAAATATTCTAGGTATTATTTAAAGAGCACTCTAAAGCAGAGATAGTTTTAACATTGCTGGGTTTGAACACTTTTAAGGAAAATATGTATTTCCATTGTTTGAGTTACTGTACACCACCTTGTATGTGATGAGGCGTGGATAAGTATGATTATTTCACATTGTGCTCATGTTAACAAAAACTGGTTTTCTTTGTTATTTCACTCAAGAAGTAACTGTTAGGTCACAAATTAACTGTTGTATATAGCCCCAAAACTTTTAGAACATTCATTGCAATTGTGCAGAAAAAGACACATCTCCAAGAGTGATTTTTTCATGAATTGTTTTCAGATGAGTTCAAAGTTGAAAATTATCTCTGCATCAAAGTGCAATTTTCTGCACATTCTGGGGAAAATGCTAATTTAAGAAAGAAGTTTGATTTAGTAGCTAAATAAAGCTATTTCAGGTAGGTAATAAAGCTATGTAGGTAATTCAAGCTACATAGCTTAATCTAGTGATTGTACAGACCTGTGTTAAAAAAAGGTATGCAGGCTCAGTGATGGTGTCTGCTCCACTCGCTTGTTTAGATGGCTTGTTTTTTTAAAACGATGCTGCACCCACTGAATTTTATGCACCGGACATCTCGGAACATTGATTACTTACTGTAAAAACCTTCACATCTTGCAAATAATTCCTAAAACATGATATTTTAACACTTTTTCAAACTTTGCTTTCACATGCCTAGAACCAAGTGCAAATTCTAAAACCTGATTCAAAACAACAAATTCCGGCAATCCAGACAGTTCTAAATTCTAAATACTGACAGACCGGAGAGCTACAGTGCCACCCAAATGAAAAACTGTATATATATTGCACAAAAGATTTGCACTCTGTTCTGGATTTATCTCTCCAAAATTTTTACCTCAACGGAGATTTAAAAATATACTTCAGACCTCTATCATTAACTCTCTTACTTGACATCTGCACGAATAGCGTTGGACCAAATAGTCTTGCCACTGTACTTCTCTGGTTGTCGATCCCAGCTTTTTCAGACCAGGGAGCTTCAGAACTGCAGCTGAAGTGAATTTAAATAAATTTTCTTAATGTAAAAATGACTTTCATTAAATTTTCAATACAAACAAATTTGAAAAATATGTCATTGCATTGTCAACTGGGCATCAATTTTATTTCTTGTGCTTGCACAGGTCTTCATCTAATTTTTATATCAAAGGGGAATGACAAATTTATGGACTGTAAATGTAGACTATTCATTAATATACCAGTATGTTCATCTTTAGCATGTTTAGGGAAAAAAAAGCTTTAATTACTCAGCACTGTGGACTATTTTAATTAATCTGCATATTCTTTTTTCTCTTTTAGAGATACATATGATAAGGAAGTGAAAGCTAAACTTAATGAGAAACCAAGACATAGGCAAAGTAAAGCAAAGAAACCTGATCTTAATGTGTATATCCCACCTACAAAGTTGAAAGGTAACCGTAACTAAAATCAATACTGTAAACCAACATCTCTTAAAATTATGTGAAAATACCAAGTATCTTGTCAAAAACTAATGGCTCAATAGGCCAAGGGTTTGTGAGGAGAGAAATGTATCTGAAACACTTTCAGCCAGCAAAGTTGAGTTAAAAAATTAGTGACAGTTTTTAAAGCAAAAAATAAAAAGCAACATGTATGTGCTGAACATTAATTGTCACATTGTACTGTTGTACTTTCCAGTATGCTGAGAAATTGCTTGTTCATTGCATTGGCTTGTACATGTACTTACTTTAAAAGTAATAGGAAATGAGTATTAATGATATAAGCATGAAGTTTGGCAGTTACCAATTTATCAGCAACAGAAAAATGTTCCATCTTACTTCATCTACACTTAAGTATTCAATTCTTTTCAGAAATTTTTCTGTTGGAATTTGAAGATAAGGATGGTTCTATATACAAGACCTCTGTGTGTAAGGTATCCATTTACTTCAGCCTGATTATTTTCCTATAAATAAAGATTTTAGCTGATCTGGGCAAATGCTTATGCTGTACTGTTGGCATCCCAAGGGTAAAGTTTTTGGGGCAAGTCAAATTTCCAGGTTGTATACTCTTACCTAGACTAATCCTGCAGGTATGATACATCAATGGAGGAGTGCTTTTGTTGTGGATGCTGTGTCTGAATCTAAATTTCCTAGATACGTGTAACTGACCAGCTTAAAATCTTCAGAGCAGGTAAAATAATTCTACCTAGACCAGACTTGCATGGGTAATTCCTCAAAGATGCATACAATCAGATTTGCTTCAGATGCTGTAACTGACCTATATTTTCTACACAAAGACCAGGTTCAAGTTTTTGGAACAGGTCCATCAGCATTCTGACTTAGATACTTATGTTGACCATATTTGCATTGTTATCGATAATGCATCTAGGGATATATGCTAATAAGTGTCTTATTTTCAAGGCAAAAGTTTTAGGAGCAGATTGTTAAATATATGTCTACCTGCATCAAACATTTATGAATAATACTTCCAAGGATGCATTCTAGCTTCTCTAGATTATTATGTTCTAGGGATGTCTTATTGGTCAATACCAATATTTGATAATCAGATTTTCTGATCAAGTACCTGAGTACTTGTTAAAAATGTATATACAATTTAAGTTTGTTAATTTTATTGGAACCAATTAAGCCCCCATCAATGATTTTTTAAATTCATATACATACTAATAATGGAAGAAACCTCAAGCCCAATGAAAATAACTTTATAGTACATATATTAAATAAATACAAAAAATATCAATTACTATACACATAATTATAAATGGAGTATTAACTGGTGTAAGTGATGATAATTACTGTATATAAGTG